ACACTTAGGTGTTTGGTTTAATTTAAAGACGAATAAACTACAAAATGATTTTACACAATTCGTTTAATTTATTAAAAATGCACAAAGTGTGTTTAAATAAATTTTTAAAATGACATCAAAAAAATGTAAGTTATTAAAATTCTTTTATTTGAAAATGTATTGTTTTTAAGTGTTTTTCGTTTATTTTAAATTTTTTTCGAATTTAATTTTTCCCACACAAATCCTTTAGCATAATAGGAAATACTAATCTAACAAAATACTAAACATAAAAATCCAATTAGTGCTGCCCATCCAAAGCAAGCTTATTAATGATGTTCACATTTAACAATTTATAACTTCTTCAAGAGATTTTCGCATTAATCGTTGCCGAGATCATGACAAATTGCGAATACCTTTAACGGAGTTTGCTTTGAGTGCCCGGCAATGATGCCGATGGGAATGGACAGCGGACGAGAGGACCGAGGGACACTTGTTCAAATCGCAAAGGCTCCGGTTCTCCAACCACGTCCCAAGTGACCCAAAAGGACACGCAGCGAACCCTTGACTCCGTGGAAATGGAAAACGGGGAGTCGGGGAGTCTGAGCACAGCTTGAAGTTAAATAAATTAAGGGCAATTAGGCGCAGCATTACGGGCACAAAGGTCGCTGGGTGGACGAACACCACCCACTCACTGGAGTCTCACCGCCAGGTGATTTTTCAAATTATGAACGCAAAGGTTGCTTTTTGCGGAATTCCAGCGGCAGGCAGACAACTCAAAGTCATCTTCTTCTGCGGCTGCTGTGATTTTTAATTGCCCACTTTACACTGTAAATTTTACAGTTTTCGAACCGACAAGGCGGAAGTTGTTCGCCACGAAGATTAGCGGTATGTTTTCTTGCCAGACAAGTGCAGAAAGCGTAACGCAAATAGCAACTAGCAAACAGCATTTTTGGCCAATTAACTGCGGCTAATTGTTGCGCACCGAACGCAATTGCAGAAAACGCTCATACGCGAAATACGAAACGTGAAAGTCGACAAAATTTATAACCACCGAAAGACGGGGGAGTCAGCCAACAGTGAAGTGCAATAAGAAATGGTAAAAGCTGCAACCAAAAAAAAAAAGGTCGAAAACTGTTGATCATTCGCCACCGATCAGCGTTTTTCTAGCCAACTTCCGCTGCGGCCAAAAGATATTTTCATAGTGGCCGAGTTCTACTTTCGCCAACGCAAGCAAAAGATCATCAAAGACGGTCGAGCGTGAAGTTAAAAACAAATGGAAGGGGTTTAGAAAAAGGAAGTGCCATATTTTAATGCGGAAAAAATAACTTTATTAATTACCAGTTTACTTTTGCTTAACGCTACTCAAATTACAATTTAATTACCAATTCTTCTTATTTTAATAGTATTTTTGTTATAATTATTCTGTTTAACGTTACATATTATTCTTTAAAGTGTAAAGCTTTTAAACAGTTTTCAATTTTCAGGCACGAATTAAAGCTTTTATAAATAAATATCAAGTTTATTTTATGTTCAAAATATTAATTTGTATAATAAATCGTATCTTCTATTTCTGTTTGCCACTAAAAATACATGGTTATTGTACATATTATTATTTATTAAAATGCCGCCCTTATTATGCGTAAATATTTTCCACTACAAACTTTTGATAGCCAACATAGAGTAGACTCTTCTAGTTACATTGCCGAAATGCTAGACATCCATAAAATGCCAAAACATGAGACGATTTTTCCACTTAATAATTCAAGCGAATAAAGTTCCAACTTTCAACCCAATCTGCTTAGTTCTCGGTACCTGAAGTCAACTCAGAGATACCCATGCATGGCTGCTCAGCAATTCACCGAAAAATTCGAAAAAAAAGAAACAAAAAATAATGTGAAACACAACACGCAAGAGGAGATTTCACTTTTTGAAGCTTAGACAAACGAACGAGGCAGAGGAAAATTCAGAGAATACAATACACAATCATAACTGACCTTAATCAATGTCTACGATGTTGAGTTTTCAGTTGTTTTCGTTCGCCTCCATCTGTGCGACTGAGTGGGTGGGAAAATGGAAATGTATCTTTTCAGAAAATGTATCTTGGAGTGTAACAAGCATATGCAATCGCGTTTTTTCTCGGCTCAGCCGAAAGAGGACAAACAACAAACAACAGGCCAACCTCTCTTTTTCCCTGGCTGTAGCTGTAAACAAGTTTGCTGCGAAAACTTCTCAGGCAATCTGAATCTGAATCTGGACGGAGGCAGCTGGTAGATGGGACGTCTCCGCTGCAATTTCATTCATATGCAATAGGGACAGAGGTGGTGGGAGGGGGGGGATGTGGAAGGGGGCAAACAGGTAACACTGAGAGCGTTTCCTGTCTGGCCAAAAGACACAAGAGGTATCATGTAGCTGCCCCGAGTCGTCCGCAGGTGAAGTAACTTATACGCAATTTCTGGCTCCACTTCAAGCTCAACTTCTTGCCCCTTGGGCTAATTAGTTTGGAGCTCTTCTCATTCCCATTCTCATTCTCATTCTCATTCTGGTTCTGGGGCATCATCAAACAAGGCGGAGATAGTTTTTACCCTCCAGATCTGCAGAGTTGAGAGCTCTTTCACTATGCAAACCGATCTTGAATGAACGAGTCGACCGTAAAATCATCACATTGTGAAATTTCTGCACACCGCGCAGCAAATGCATTCATTCAGTTGAGCTTCAGTATCTCGTATCTGGCGGATGTGACTCATTCGGTCAAGACTGAAATTACGCCGCACTCGACTGGCAAAGCAAAGACAAACGAAGCGAAGTCTCTTTTTTTCAGCTACTCATTCGTGTTTGCCGGCTGAAAGCTAAGCAGCTCTTTTTGTTGTCGAGCACTGAACAAAAACTACTTGTCCATTTTAAATACTTTTATAGCTAGTTCGTATCTTGAAATTGCAAAAATTATGCTAAATTCATTTAGAAGCTAAAGACAAAAAAAGAAGTACAAATATTAAAAGCATTAAAATAAATGTTCATTAATGAAAATAAGTAAATAATTTTAAATCAATAATTAAGGTTTGTATTAATTAATAAAACATTTATTTTAGTCTTGCGACAGTTATGAATTACCACTAACCTTTTTATCTAGATCTAGGTAATATGCCTATCTACTTATCTTAACCTTTAAACATTTATGGAAAAAAAATATTTTTAAAAATTTGATATTATGAAAATTACCAATCATATTTTTCTGCTGTGTACAGATTTTTTTGGGTCTTTTTCTCTTGAAGTTTTATGCCTGAGTAGGTAGATCGCTGATTGACTGTAGGCAGAAAGGAAGGCCGGGGGGCCTTGATGAATGGGAAGAAAGAATGGGGAATGACTTAGAAACATCCGAAGTACATTCAAGCGTTGTAAACAGTCTTCTCTACTATGTACAACATTAACCAAAGGTGTTAATTAGCGAGAAAGCTAAACACATGTAAATAAAAGTGTAAAAAAAACAAAATTTTTCATGTTCTTCTTGAAAATTTCATTATAAGGAAACTCATTAGGATTCGGTGGAGGAATTAATGAATACAACTATTTTAAGTATGGCCATAGCAAAAACATTTTTTGAGATAAATCCAGACGAGATATTTTATATCGTTTAATTTGTCAATAGTGAAATAATTTATAAGGAAGCCTTTGAAGCTCCAAGAAAAGTGAAATAAATAAATAAAATTCTTCATAAAATGCATTAACAATTACGTAACTACAGTACATTTTTAAAAGCAGTATAGAATAGATTTAAAATATTAAATAATGTAAAGGTCTCTAATAAGATTCTCTGGTAAGACGTGAAGATTGTTTGAATTGCAGTGACTGCTAATTTCATTCAGCAAATCAAAATACGACGGCCCAATTAAATCCATTTTAATGATGTCATGCGATCGTCCCACGCATGAACCCACCGGCAGGTTTATTTATACCACACAAATCCTTATTTATACCGCGCGCAGAGAAGCCAATTCGAAATCTTTACAATGGAGGCGTGTGTAATATAATCCTTTCAACCGGTTGGCCGTGTTGCCCACATGTTGCATGTGAATGTTGCGAATCGGTTGAGGCAACACGGGAGCGTTCTCTCAGGCTGCTTTCTCTCGGGAAGGGCACAAGAGCAGCCGAGGCGTCTGATTCGGAACCAAGCGACTGCGGAGGCTTTGATTCGAATCCAAGAAGCTCAGTTCAAAAAATTGAACGCTGCCGAGCGGTTGTGTGGTTCCGCTGCCGTTGCCGTCTGTAGTTGTGTGTGTAAAGCAGTGCGCGCGTGTGTGTGAGCGTCCTGCTAGCCAGGACTCACCGTTAATTTGTGCAGTGCAATCCATGTGCAATGGAAATCAATGCCTAGATCTAGATCACAACTTGTCACGCCGCCCTCGCTGCGAAAAATCCGAAAAAATTAGAATCATCCCCCTTCGCGTGGACCGAGGTTCGCTCGTAACGCAAACGAAACCGAAAGCGACAAAAAAACGCGTTGCTTTGCGTGGCAAAATGCGCTAACCGAAGCGACCAAACAAACCAACAAAACCATCCAAACAAAAAAATCACATATATATTTTCGTAGAGAGCAGCACGTGAAGAAAGAAAAATCCCGAAAAGCTGAAGAAAATTGCGTAGAAAAATAATAATAGAAAAAAAAGAAGCAAGGGAAATACGAATTTCGTTGGCCGAAAAATAAAAACGATTATCATCCAAACGAGTGTGAGTGAGTGAGTGCGAGTGAGTGTGTGTGAGTGTGCGGGGCTAGCCCTATAAATAACATTGGGTCTGGCCGAGCGCTAATTACGGCAAAACATGGAAATCTTGGCGAAAAGCGCAGCAACAACAAGTGAAGCCAAGGCGGCAATTAATCAATTTTCCGCTTGACCCATAAGGAAGTTTCCATATCAAAATTAAAAGAAAGCCCAGAAATACGAAGGATACCATCGCACGAAAGTAAGAGCAAAGGTCAACCCAACGAAACATATCCTTGAGTTGTACAAAAAACGAAAAAATAAAGTTAATAAATACAATTACCTTCAATGGACTTATAAGAGACTTTTTCATATCAACCTAAAAACACAAGACACATCAATAAAATCAGAAGCTTCGCTTGAAACTTTAGCGACATATCGTATTGGAGTTAAGATAAAAACATTGCAAAAATCGAAAGATATAACCCATCATATCGTACAAAGTACAGAAGAAACCCCATGACAGTGCTATTCGCAAACAAACACTGGGCTTTGGCCTAGAACGCTCAACGAGAAGACTTGAAGAAAAAGCCAGGAAAATGCATATCAGGGAAATAGCTTTCCTGCTCCTCGGCCTGCTGCCTGGAATTATCCTGGGCAATCGCTACAATCAGCTGCATCTGTACGCCAATTCGGCCGGAGGCAGCTCCTCATCCTCCAGCCCAGGAAGCTATAGACCTTCCCAGTCGTCCCAGAACGAGGTCTACTCCATAGCGGACAGCCAGCCGATGACGGAGGATGGCTACATGCCCTCCAATCAGCACAATCAGCACTTTCCACCCGCCCACTCCGACCTGGATCCGCCTGCCCAGCAGCAGAGCACCTGCCAAACGGTCTGCGCCTGCAAGTGGAAGGGCGGCAAGCAGACGGTCGAGTGCATCGATCGACACTTGATCCAGATACCCGAGCACATCGATCCCAATACCCAGGTGCTGGACATGTCCGGCAACAAGCTGCAGACCCTGTCCAACGAGCAGTTCATCCGTGCCAATCTGCTCAATCTGCAGAAGCTGTATCTGCGCAACTGCAAGATTGGCGAGATCGAGCGCGAGACCTTCAAGGGGCTGACCAATCTGGTGGAGCTGGATCTCTCGCACAATCTCCTGGTGACCGTGCCCAGTCTGGCCCTGGGCTACATATCCTCGCTGAGGGAGCTCACCCTGGCCTCCAATCACATACACAAGATCGAGAGTCAGGCCTTCGGGAATACGCCCTCGCTGCACAAATTGGATCTCTCGCACTGCGATATTCAGACCATTTCCGCCCAGGCCTTCGGTGGCCTCCAGGGACTGACGCTGCTCCGCCTGAACGGAAACAAACTCAGCGAACTGCTGCCCAAGACCATTGAGACCCTGAGCCGATTGCACGGCATCGAACTGCACGACAATCCGTGGCTCTGCGACTGCCGACTGAGGGACACAAAACTCTGGCTGATGCAACGGAATATCCCCTATCCGGTGGCTCCCATTTGCTCCGGCGGTCCCGAGAGGATCATCGATCGCAGCTTCGCCGATCTGCATGTCGATGAGTTCGCCTGCCGACCCGAAATGCTGCCCATTTCGCATTACGTAGAGGCTGCCATGGGCGAGAATGCCTCGATCACTTGTCGAGCGAGAGCTGTGCCGGCTGCGAATATCAATTGGTACTGGAACGGACGACTGCTGGCCAACAACTCGGCCTTCACCGCCTACCAGAGGATACACATGTTCGAGCAGGTGGAGGGCGGCTTCGAGAAGCGATCGAAGCTGGTGCTGACCAATGCCCAGGAGACGGACTCCAGTGAGTTCTACTGCGTGGCCGAGAACCGAGCCGGCATGGCGGAGGCCAATTTCACCCTGCACGTTAGCATGCGGGCCGCGGGAATGGCCTCCCTGGGAAGTGGCCAGATCGTAGGCCTAAGTGCCGCCCTGGTGGCCCTCATTGTCTTTGCCTTGGGGGTCATCATGTGCCTGCTGCTGAGGGTCAAACGACAGCCATATGTGGACAGCAAGACGCCCAATCACATGGAGGTGATTACGTCGGTCAACCATCAGAACTCCATAACGAACAAGACGCAGCCGGCGACGGGAAATGGCAGCATTGGCGGCGTGGTCATTGCCAATGGGGCAGTGGCCAATATTATTGATGGCGGAGTGGTGCAGGGCGGAACTCTGGAGCGGAAGAGCAGTGGCAGGGGCGTCTCGCACGGGGGCCACGATCAGAGATCAGCAAATCCAGTACAGAAGCCGCCGCGACTCACCGACCTTCCCTACTCCACGCAGGGCTATGACAACAACGGCAGTGTCCTGTCCACCGCCTCCTGCTTCATCTCGCCCACTGGATCCACCGGAAATGGTGGAAATAACCCGGATCTCATCAACGACACCAAGCGCTTTGGGAGCGATGAATTTGCCGATCTGAAGATACCGCCCATCGTGGGAGTCGGGGGCAGCGGGGAGTACAGTCGCGCCAATGGCTGCGACTCCCTGTATCCGTCGGGCCTCTGGGAGCACAGTGCCCCCGGGGGCGCCACATCCGCGGACGATCTGTTCATGAAGCGCTACACGGACAAGACACCCATCATAGACTCAACGCAGCTGTATGACTTGCACGAGCGGACGGCGGCCACGGATTATTTCAGCAAAACCTTCCCCAGATCCCATCTACAGCAGGGAATGACAAGCGTTGGCGGAGGAGGAGGAGGAACTTCAACTGCCTCCACTGTGACCACCAATTTGTCGGGTGGCTCCTCATCGGGTTACCCCAATGATTATGGTTTGCCTCTGGTCCCGGGGGCCGAGCACCAGCACAACCATCAGCTGCAGATGCATCCGCTGCAGCAGCTCCAGCAGCAGCTGACCTCCACGCTGAACCACCAGAGGCGGGCGGAGGAGGGCAGCTCCACCGGGAGCAGTCCGCACTTCAGTAGCCGCACCCTGCCGCGTCTGCACGAGAACAGTGGGGGCAGCGGGGGCGGCAGCTCGCGGTCGTCGCCCACGCCGGCCAACCAGGGAGTCAACCAGGCGAACCCCAGCACCAGCACCTCCAGTTCCTGCTCCATCCTGCCCAACGGGCAGCCAATCAACGCCAAGACGATACGGGTGTGGCAGAAGGGCGGGGTGCCCGTCCTGCCGCCCGTGACGGCCCTGAAAAGGGCCCTGATCAGCAGCAGCCGCAACTCGCCGGACGAGGGATACCAGGAAGGATGCGGCACGGATGTGTAAGCACTTCGCACCGAGGGAAAGAGGAAACCAAACCAAGAACTGACTAAACTTAACACAAAAAATAAGAAAAAGAAATAAGATGTAACGACGATGGTGGGGAGGTAGCTCTTTTTAGGTATAACACTCATAAATAGATAGCTCCGGGGTCCTAGGCGAGCAGCGATTATTGTGCAAGCGAACTGTTTGTGATAGTGTCTGACAAAAAGATAATGCGAATGAAGATAATAATTGCCCAAAGCAAAGAGAAAGCTAAAACGAAATCAACTGCACTACACTAAAGTATACTCTCCTTGGCAAGAAACTCAACTAACTAAACTAAACTAAACTATAAAGCTAAACTAAAAACCTAAATGTAAAAGTAAACTAATTAAAAATAGGATATGTACAGCAACATTTTCTTTAAATAACATGGCAACTCTCAACTCCCCGCATAACGAAAAAAAAGATAAGAAAAGAAAATAACCCAAAAACATATATGGAAAAGCAACCATGTGAATGTAACTAAATCTATAAATATTTAAATGTATGTGACTATGTGTGTGCATGTGTGTGTGTAATTTCTTCGTTGTTCGGTTAGAAAAAAAAAGTAAAAAGGATCCCAAAACCAATAAGCCCTTCCTCCAAGAGTTATAATCATAAATCAGACCCGAGGAACCGAACTTGCGGCTCAACATTTGTAAGATATACATTCACATATATGGTATGCATACGTATGGTAAAGCTGCAGAAGAAGTAATATAAATCATGGTAAATGTATATATTAGATAACCCATAGACAAGGAAACAAATTCTTGATCCGACATTGTTTGAAATTATTCCATGTCCTGTTAGAAGCTGTGAAATATTGTAAAACTAAAGCAGGCTCTAAGTCTAAACAAAGGGTAGCAGTAAATCCTTTTTGCATCTTATAATTACGCATTATTTCCTTCCTTATTACGTTAATTGCAAAATTAAAATAAAATTCCTTCCCTTTGAACTTTTTGCAAAGAAAATTTGTCAATTCTTAAGATATTAACCTTTTTGAAAAAAAAAGTAAATAAATTTATAAAAACAATTTTTCTTTAAAGTAAAAATTCTATTTCCCAACCTATTACAATTCCCATTCAATTTACAACAATTGCAGCAAAATAAAATAAAGAGACCTTAAGTAAACTATTAGAAAACAAATGTTTACCCAATTCCAGTGTGCAAAAATGTTCTCGTAATTAAATTAAATTCTTGAGGAAAATTTTATTTACTGCTACCCATAAAAAATATATACATTTTGAAAAAACACAATACCAAACGTTTGTAAATTTCCCAACAAATCTAGAAGGAAGCAAGCTAGAGGGGAGAAAAGAAATTTAGCAAAATAAAATCTGTCGGCAGTCGAAATGCAAACATTAAAAAACCAATTGGAGAAAATTCAAACTAAAGACCGAGGGAAAATATTCGTCAAATGCATACGTAAATAAACATATGTAAATTGTACTCAAAGTGCACACACACACACACACTCGCTAACACATCACAGGCAACACCCACACGTTCACGCACACACATGGCCATACACGTGTACATGTAGATGTATGTCAGTTTGTCCTTGTAACGATTTAAAGCGTATCCACAAGATATTAATTGCCCGTATGTGCTAAGACTTAGAATTTAAGCAGATAACAAAAACTGAAACAAAAACAAAAACCAGAAGAAAAAACAAAAACAAACAAAATAATATTTTTAAGGTAAACCAAAGACTTTTTTCTTTGCATCTAAATGAGCGCAGGAGTCTTCAAAGGACTCGCAACAACAAACAGTAGGCACACAGATACAAAACACACTCACACACACACACAACCGAAAGTAATCTTGAACGAGAAAAAAAGAGCAAGAAAAAACCATAGCATTTAAGTTGAACTTATGTATTATGTATTGTATAATATAAACCTACGTATAGTATATAGTCTATAGATGTGTACACTTATCAACGGAGCGGCATAGCTAACAAGCGAGGGAAGGGGAGGCAGAGAAAGTGGGAGAAAGTTGAAAGGTAGATAGAGGGAAAGGAAGAGGGGAGTAGAGAGCCCGCAGACAAAAGCGGGCATTGAATGCATGAAAGCAACTGAATGAACAACAAAGCAAAAAGGAAATATATATAACATTATATATATCTATATATAAACGAAAAACATAAACCATTGTCATTACTTTTTTACCCCCAAGATTTCAGCCAAAGGTAGGTATGCCCCCTCTCGGGAGGAGGCGGTTTCGGGGGTCTCGGGGCAGTTCAGCTGGGGATGACATGACCCAATTAGTTGGCCATTCGAATGCTGTCCGAAGCTGGGGCTAATACCAAAAGCTGGCTCTGCTGCGCTTCCCTTGTTATTCGCTGCAGCGCTTTGGCATATTAGGGCCAATCGTCTAATCGCCAATTATGCATTTCAACCTCAACCCCAACCCCAAACCTCACCAGAACCTCACCTCGCACACTCGCAGAGACAAACTGAAAGTGTGGCTTGAATCGATATGGCTAATCGGTGGAGGCCAAAATGATGTCCGTGAACGAAGAATATGGAATACCCTAGCAGATTACAACGGAACCAAGTATTAATTCTGCACTTTTAAAAGGTTTTACCACTTTTAGCTTGAAAAAATTAAATATATTTCATTATCTTCTACTATAAAAAATTTAAGCAAAGAAGTTTCATTTTAATTTTTATAATACTTTAGACCTATATATAAATATTTATAGGAATAGTTATATTTAGGTATTTATTTCAATATTATTAATATATATTATTATATTATATTATTATATTATTTCAATTTTATTATTTTAATACCATATTTTTTATGACCTTAAAGTTTTTTTAAGGTTTCTAAAACTTTTAAGATTATTCTTTAGTATAAAAACATATTTATTAACAAAAAACTAATTTAAAATAACTAGATAATTAAAGAAGAAAGAAATTTTTCTCAGTACAATTCAAAATTGCTATAGCAAGCTTTAACCTTTTCCCCTTCGTACTCAGGTCCCTATAATCCCACAATCTTTGATCCCTGAACTTGTAGAGAAACAACTACTTTTAGTCAGACATTTTTCATGGCAAATTGGAGATACCTTTTTGGGAAAATCCCGGCCACCTCCACTCCATCAATGTGCACCCGGCGACGACCCAGTGGCCTCCTCCTCGATCCGTGTACGTCTGTTTGTAGATGAGGCGGCTCCGATGAGGTGCTGCCTTCGGGTGGGAGTTGTTAGGCAGCGCGTAATATATACGGCGGCCCAGTACCAGATTATATCATGGCGTGCGGCTATGCCAAACTGTCTGGGCTCAAACCGCCCGCCACCCGAAGCGCCGGCCCCCCATCTGCGGATTTGGCCACCAAGCCTTATTGACGACGCGCAAAGTTTGCCAACTAAACAAGTTTTGTGCCTCAAATGAAATTTAGGTTGCAACTGAAGCCCAACTAAAGCCAAACAAAACACGGGCCAACAGCCGAATGGAGAATGGGGAGCGGGAGGTTGGGAAAAAATTAGAACTTTTCTGCGCCGAAGGAAAGTGTATTTTATTTGTTCAACTTTATTACGTATACGTGCCGCTGTGCCGCCTGTGCAAATAACCAAAAATGCAAAACGTGGGCCGCACCGTCTTCCACTCTAATTCCCTTCCTTAGCTCCCCTGCTCCTCCAGGTGATCTCTAATGAAGCCTCCGCCATTGTGGCATCGTCAGGTGCTCGTCGCACTTTTATGCTGCATACATTTCTGCGTTTTCGGGTGCTCTCTGTTTAACGACTTTGGCGAACATATGGCTACATATAGAAAAATTATACAGAAGTCAAGTCGGAAGTCACTAAAATTTTGGCGAAAAACGTTATTTACTTTTTTTATTTTTAGCCAGTTACTGAAAATATTATTTTATTTTGATTTTTTACTTCTATATTTTAGCAAATAACAAAATAAATTTAATTTTCTTGCTAATTAACCAAAATTTTATTTCTTACGCATAAGCTTTAATAAAGATTTTGTATTTTTATGTTAAACTGTACGGGAAAACTTGATATACTTTTATATGCGACAGTCTACAAGTCCTTGAAGTTGGAAGTTTCTGTGTAGCGCGGAATTATTTCCCTCCCCACGGCCGGCCATGCGAAATTAATGAACGAAAAAAAGCGCCAAAAGAAGAAAGGTAAGCCACACACACGCAGCAAATACAAAACACTCGCTCTCACTCATATATGCCTAAGCTAACAGACAGAGCGCCGTAAATATTGTTGAAAACGGCAGTTTATTTTTGGGGAGCCCAGAAAACATCATTCAATCGAGGGGCTTCGGCCCTGGCTAAGCCAAGCCAGCCAAGCCATTCAAGCCGGGCCGAAACCCAGGCAACTTGGGTCCAAATCGGGGGTCCTGCGGAGAAAAGCGGGACGACGGACAATCGGTAACCGCTGATGGATGTGAGCAGAGGCAACAAAGAGACAGCTGCTTGAGGTGCACGGGCATAATGTTGAGCGATATTTTTGTACCGTTTTGTTTTCCTTGCCGTTTGAGAGTGTGTGTGTGCGGAAGGACCAAAAGCGGCCGCAAGTTAAATAAGGAGCATGCGAAAAGGAAACTTTGGATAACACACCACGCGACCATATTAAGAACGGCTAGGAAATGCCCTAGGCCAGTACCACAATTTATTCTATTCTTTTTCCACAGCTTTTCAGGAATAAATACTTTTGTATACAAGTATACGGATTGCACAGGTAGGTAATAGAGAGTTAATAAAAAAAAGGTATTTGTTTTGAATTTAAAGAATTAAGAAAAAATGTTTATTCTACAGAGCAAAGTACAAATCAAGATGAAAAAAACATTTTTTTATGTTAATATTTTAAAGTCTAAAAGTTTCTACAAATAGCCTAAATTTGGTTGTATTTAGTTTCCATAATTTAAGATATTTTACAGCTACATTTGTAGTAATTGTATTTCGTTCAAAGAAAATAATAATGCTTAAGAAATATAAAGATGACAACAAGGCCACTTAAAAAATATCTCCTATTTAGTACGTATAATTTTCGGAGATGTCACGAGATTTTCAATGTTGTAGGAGAATGGAGTCATACCCTGCTAACAAATTCAGCTTTGCATAGTGTATAAATGACACACACACACGCCAAACAGGCGACACACATGCACACAACACAGGCGCAGGACGAGAGTCATAAACAGAGACTGAACAAAGAGTTGTCCTTTGACTGTCAAACACACACACTCGCTCCCCTTCGTGTGTGAGTGTGTGTGTCTCTTTAGCGTCTCCAGGATTTAATGGCCTCATTAATTTTGTATGCTTGGCCTTAAATTATTTTACTTGCCTGCCCTGCTCAGCTATTCCATTAACTTGACTTCGCTATGCCCACAGCCGCATGCCACGCCCCCACTCGACGCCCAACGCCCAAAACGCCCCAACGATCCACAAAAAAAAAGAATAAAAACGAGGGAAGAGGGGAGGGGCTATGGCTATCACACTGACGGAGTTGACTCGACTACATTAATTTACATAAGCTTAATTGTTTTATTTAATCAATAAAAATAATTAAATACCATGTGCGTAAGTAATTAAAACAAATCGTTTTTATTGCGCGCCCGAAATTGAAATTGCATAAACATAAACCGAAAACAGAGAGAGGCACGGCGGGCAAACAAAGGAGTCTAACCGAAAAATTTGCATGCAACATGCTGCTCTGTCTATTTAATTACTGCACATCAAACATTAATCACCAGCCGAAATGCAAATACGCAGGGGTCCGGAAAAACGTATTTTTGGCCAAATGATAATTTTGTTTTGATCGGCAAATAGAATTTGACGCCTCAACCGAGAAATGTGGGGCGGTCAAATCCATAAACCAAATTACTTTATGCTTTGGTTTTTGCCTAAATATATGCGTACATATGCACAGCTCGCCCTCACTCTCTATTTTCCCCTATTTTTATTTAGCTTTTTCCCAGTTTTTCAGCATAATTTAT